CCCACGTATAAAATCAAATGGTTGGAGCTGATCTTTTACATTTCTATTATTTATCTGGAAGAGGTGAATGATAGAAATTAGATAGAAGAAGATTGGCTCCAATCTAGAATACATATGTATATTAAATATATACTGTGTTTTCAAGTTTATATATATAGATTTGTTCCAATAATAGCATGTTTGGCTTGTACCCATCAAGTCCTGTTATTTCTTTAAATCTTTCAAAGCGTTATCATATAAATTTACCAAGGAAACATCTTATCGTACTTGCGAGTTATCTTGAATACCGTTTGTTGTAGCATGAAAAAGAATACCTGGAAATACTAACGGCAGTTAAAGGATCGCCTAAGGAAAAACGCCTGGCGTCGCAATTCATCGCTAGGTTCTTCAAGCATTTCCCGAAACTAGCGGATCAAGCTATAGACGCTCATTTGGACCTATGCGAAGATGAAGATATGGCTGTAAGTTTTCAAATGAGGATCGAGCCACTTCCAGCTTTTTGAACGTGCTTTAGTAGTCGAAGTAATAAATTGCGTATATACGATCCTTATTTTCTTTACAGATTCGAAAGCAAGCTATTAAGGATTTACCAGCACTTTGTAAAGATAATAAGGAACATACGGCGAGAATTGCAGATATCTTAGCACAATTACTGCAAGCCGAGGACACTTCAGAGCTAGCAGTTGTACATAACAGTATTATGTCGCTTATGAAGAGCGACCCGAAAGGTATTATTCGATGAGTTACAATAATGCCTACAAATTCATCCGATTTGGATTCAGTTTGACATTTATCAGTTTGTGACTGTATGTTCAATTGTTGGATAAAAACAACTTTGGATTTATAGGTACTTTGAGCGGATTTTTTAGCCAGATCATTAATGGCGACGATGGAACGAGAGAACGTTGTATAAAATTTTTGGCTACCAAACTTAAAGCATTAGGACGTGACATTATCACGAAGGAACCAGAAGATTTGTTGATTGCAGAATGTAAAAAAGTATTACAGGTAATTTTATATGATTTCTAATATTATAATAATGCATACACATGCGCTCTTTTCTTTAATTAATATCTTTTATTTATAGGATGTGACTGCTGACGAATTCCACAGTATTATGGAGATCCTTGCATGGACTAGATTGGGATCTACCGTCACTGGTCAACAAGAATTGATTGATATTACAATAGAACAAGCTGAATTATCTGTACCTTTCAAGCATACTAATGTCGAACAGTGGAACAGATTAGTTCAATGTGTTAAACATGCTCTTCCATTTTTCAGTGTATGTATTTACATGTTCTCAATATTCAAACGCGATTTAATATTTTATACGTATATGTTGCATATATTTGTTTATAATTAATATTGTATTTATGTTTCGATATTCTTATCCCTTTTCAGTCACAGATAGACTCGTCAAAATTCGTTTCATACATTTGCGTGCAAGTTCTACCCCATCTTTCCCTGATGACTTCCCCCGATGGTAGAGATATTCAACTGGAACTGTTAAAGTTGCTTGCTGAATTAACTGTGTTTTGTGGAACTATTGAAAAACCCGAAGATAAAGTTCAACAGCTTTACAATACTCTTATTGTAAGTACTGCGTCTTTATTCTCACATATTTTAATAATCTCATATATTTTCGCACCTGATATTTAATATTCATATTTCATTGATCAAAATTATTGCATATTGCTTATCGTTATTGTTTATTTTTCACTTCATTTATTTCAGACCTATATGCCACTTCCTCCAGCTACAGAAATTACTGATGTACCAAAGTTACAATTTAGTCACGTGGAATGTTTAATGTACGCTTTTCACAAACTGTGTAAGCAGACGCCTGAATTTTTGATAAAAGATCCAGAGCAGCTCAAAGAATTTCGACTAAGATTGCAATATTTTGCGAGGGGCATTCAAGGTTACATAAAGAAATTACGTGAAGCTATCAGTGGAAAGACAGAAGAGGAATTGAAATCTGAGGAAAATCAGTTAAAAGTTGTGGCACTAAAAACAACCAACAACATCAATACTTTAATCAAGGATCTGTTTCATTCACCTCCTAGCTTTAAAAGCATTATACATCTCTCATGGAAAACGCCATGCAATGACAAAAAGGTAATTAATTTTCAATACAACCGTTATAAATTCTAACAGTGTTTTTCGCGCAAATAAATGTATCTACAATTTACATTCGTGAGTGCTTTGACTTGCAATAGTTTGATTTTATTAATTTCGTGTCTGTTTTAGAGCGAGAAGAATTCTGCTCAGAAGAGACATACACCGATCACATTTGGAAATGACAGCAGTCCGAATAAACGTAATAAGGAAGATAAAAACAACAAAAGGGAAATATATACACCTCCTAGTGGCAAATACAGTTCAAACATATCAAATTATGGTGAGTTAGGCGAATGTGTTGAAACTTGAAAAGAGACAAATTTTAGTATACAGCCATAATTATCATTAATTTTACTTATTGTTTTTAGGCCGCGGTAGATTCAAAGGTAACAGACCTCGAGGAAGAGGTGGATTCAGGACTAGAGGTCGTGGTCCGTGGCGAAAGAATTTTTATTAATTTTGAAATTCATTACACTTGAAAACA